ATTTTCTTATTTAGTAAAAACAATCGATGAATTATATTGTGTTGATTATGTTAGTGTTAGGGTTTTAGGGTTTAGTTTATATTTTTGTTAGTTTTAGATTTTTTTTTAATGTAACTTGAATAATTTTCTATATTAACAAATTAACATTGTGTTTTATTTTGATTTTCACAAACATATCTTATATTGTGGGAATTTTATATTATTATGTTGGTAAAATCATCAATAGTCATAATGGTATCATTTATCATAGAAAAAATACCGAGTTATGTAGCTTGAGATTAGACAGTTTATTTGATGGATTTAGAAATTTAGCATTAGGAAATTGAGTGAAATCTAGTTGAATTTGATGATGGTATTACTTAGAGGATATTGGGTGAGGGGCATCTGAATCATTATGTTGGTGTGCCCACTACTAGCGATACGAGTTTTAATGCAATGGTTGAATTGATCACCATAAATAAATTACAAACTCAAATCCTAAGTTACAATAAAGGACTATAAAATCATCATAGGCAGTAGGTCGGTGTAAGAAAATTAGTGATACAATGAACCTAACATCAATTCAAGAAATGGTGCATATAGAACCTTAGTTAGGTATGGTAAAGACTCCATATTGTTATGATAAATCTAAATTGAGTGATGAGAAAAATGATTTTTATGTCGATGATATAGTAAACAAAAATGAGTAAGGTGAACCAATAAACCAAACAATAAGACCCCTTGTTCCTGAATTTAAATATGTTAGTGAGTCTGCTCATATGATAAACTTTGATTAGGCTTTAAGCCATAAGAACTCATGATTAAATACTAAGTTGAAAGTTAGATAAATATTCTAAACCAAGACTGATTTAATTAATGTAGTTAAATGGTGACATGTAAAAAATTCACTTTAATATAAAGTACAACGTTTAACCATAACTTATATGTAGTTACATTGTAGGCATGAACCATCATTTCAATGATATTTATGTGGGGAATATCAAAAAAATTCTAATTCATTTAAGATTTTAAAATTGAAAGATTCTCACACATGTCACAATCTAATGATTATGAAAGTCGACCATCATATTGACTCTTATTTTATTATTACTATATTGGTGACCTTTTTCAAACCTAAAATAAGTATTGAAATTGTAACAATTCAAGCAACTATCCATAAGGACTATTTTTATAATATATTGTATAAAAATTCTTGGTTAGCTAAACAAAAATTATTAGAGAGGTTGTTTGGATCTCATAAGGAGTTTTGATGATGTTGATAAGCATTGATGACACTCACTTATATGAAAAGTATAAGACAAAAATCTTGATTGTTTATGCTTTGGTTGGGAAAAAAATGAACAATAACTGAACATGGCTTTTAGATTTGATTCACTGACATGTCACGGGTAAACGTACTAGATTGTGTATAATTTCAAATAAATATGTGGCAATTAAGAATGTTATTTCATAGATATGGACCAAGCTAAATGGGTATCATTATTATTGTTTTTGCACTTTGGGAGTAACTTTAACAAAAAATTAAAAGATGTGGCATTAAAAAAACTATTAGACAAGATGTGTTAAGAGTCTTTAAGACATAAATTTGATATTATATATGATGATATGGTTGACAGGAATGATTAAATCAAAGAATGATTTGAGATTGAACTGAAAGAAAGATGAAAACTCTTATATGATGATGGTTATCGTGATAAAAACATAATCACTAATTTGTTAAATATTTTTAACAATATCTTTAAAATTTTTCATGGTTTGCCTATAACTATAACACAAATTAGCTTTTTTTAGGATTAATAAATAGTTTGTTGATCACATAGTTACAATTAATGATTGCATTAGTCGTGATGTATTATGGCCTTCACAAGTGCTTGTTGAACTTATTGTTGATGCATCAAAATCAAGATAACATGTTGCGAGTATATTTAATATCTCAGATGGTGTTTTTCAAGTTGAAATCCCCTAGTAATTGGTATGGTAATCGAAAAGAGGTTCAATGAAAAGTCTAGTTTAATCAAAGAAAATGTATGTGTGGTAAATTGTAGTAGTATTATTGACCATGTTTATATCTTATTGTATGTTGTACATTGCAACATGTTGACTTTGAAAAACATTTTTACACTTTATTTTTGGACATCAATTACTAAAATTCATATGGTTAAATGTGAGTTTTAAAACCCCACCAAAAGGTGCTATAAAGATTGTATTTGATTATATTGTATTATTATGCTAGAACATAATTAATGCATATGTTTAGGTCTAATCTTCACTAATTTGACAAACAAAGTAGTTCTATGTTACTTTCTTCCATTGCTAGATAACTTTGTTGTCATTCATAACTATAGTTAGGCTCAATGGTGCTTGTATATCCATATTATTAGCTTTTCCATGCATGCATGTCATAGAAGAAACAAATCGGTGAATATTTATTATTTATATTGGTATAAGTTTATATTATATTCTATTAAATATTGTTAATTTAAGTTTTTATTTATTTTCTTATTGTGCATAGAAAGTTATGGTCAAGAAATCATCTTTACATCAATCATCCTGATGTTTGGAAAAATCAAATACTCAATGTTGTTACGAGAATATGACTCTTAATTGGAGCTCAATAATAATAACTATGAATACATTATGAAATTCAAATTTTCTAATAAAAAATGTCTAATTTAATTATTTAACATGTTAGATGGGTTGGGGAGAGGTCTACACAAAATATCACTCATGTTCACGAGTTTTATCTAAATAAGTTAGATTCACATGAGCCTTATAATATATGCATGAACTAAATTATTCATTTTCTTATTTAATTTTATTTTTGGTGTGAGTGTTTTTAATATATATGTTTTATAGTTTCATAGGAGATAAAGACATTATATATCAATGATTTGATTGAAAGAATTTCTTCATTATACATAAAGAGAAATTATTTATAAGTAGGATAATATGTCATTTTGAATTGTATCAACACAGGATAATATGTCATTTTAAATTGTATCAACACATGCCTGATGATGTTGACACACTTGATGATGACTTTCATGTTGTTAATCATTGAGATAAAGATAAGATGATTATTCGATGATTCATATATAATATGTCAATTTTTAGCATGCAAGGAGAGATTGCTTATTTACAGAGTAATATCTCTTTATGTGATGTTAATTTGTGGAAGAGCATCTTTATTATTCATGAAAGGAAGTGATTAACGGCTACCAATCCCTATGTTTTATTTTGTGATGGTTAAAGTGCATTGCCCTAATCAAGTAATGCATAAATTTGGATTACATTAACATAAATTTGGATTACATTAACATATACTTGATGATGTTAACACACTTAATGATGACTTTCATGTTATTAATCATTGAGGTAAAAAAAAAGATGATTATTCATTAATTCATATACAATATGTCAATTAATGGCATGCAAGGAGAGATCACTTATTTACAAAGTAGTATCCTTTTATTTGATGTTAATTTATGAAAGAACATCTTTATTATGCATGAAGGGAAGAAATTAATGACTAGTGGTCTCTATGTACTATTTTACCATAATTAAAGTGCATGTCAATTAGTGGCATGCAAGGAGAGATCACTTATTTACAAAGTAGTATCCTTTTATTTGATATTAATTTGTGAAAGAACATCTTTATTATGCATGAAGGGAAGAAATTAATGACTAGTGGTCTCTATATACTATTTTACCATAATTAAAGTGCATTATCTTGATCGAATAATACCTTAATTTAGATTATAATGATGTTAACATACTTGATAATGACTTTGATGCTCTTAATCGTTGAGGTAAAGAGAAAGATGTGATTCATATCCAATGTGTCAATTTATGACATGCACGGAGAGATCACTTATTTACAAAATAAAATTTCTCTATTTAATGTCAATTTGTTGAAGAACATCTTTATCATGCATGAAAAAAAGTGATTAATGGCTAATGGTCCCTATATATTGTTTTGTCATGGTTAAGATACACTGCATTAAAAGTAATGCATTAAAAGTAATGTGTCAGTTTAGATAGCATCAATACATACCTACTGATGTTGATACACTTAAAAACTTTCATATTTTTACTCGTTAAGATAAAAAAAAAGATGATTGTTAAGATAAAAAGAAAGATGATTGATTGATTATTCATGTATAATATATCAATTTGTGACATGAAAAAAGATCACTTATTCACGTAGTGTCCCTCTATTGAATTAAATCTTTACCTAACTTAATACATGAACATAACAAGGTGATTATAATACCACCCTAAGACATGTTATGAAACATCCACGCGACACTCCACATTGAGATTTTTTTAACATGTAATAAAAAATTTATTTATCTTATAAATGATAATATAATCTTTTTTAATATATTAAGTGAATTTTTTACTACGTGAGGGTCAAAAAACTACAACCATAGATCATGATGCTATAAACAATGTTGTCTGTGACACTTTCAATACTTTGTTGTCATCGTAAGGTTCTTAACTTAAAATGCAAGGGTCAAAGAGTTGCAGTTCAAACGCTACCTCATGCCGTACGCTACTTGCACAACCATTGCTTTTATGCTAGATTTTCATGCTAGAGTAAAAATTATTTTGCCAACCAATTTGAAAAATAAATCCTTAATAAACAAAAATGATTTGGTTCAAATTTACCCCATGTTTTGGTCCATGTAACCCATTTGAATTAAATTGCATTAAATTAAATTGTAAAATGACTACTAATTAGAATTTTGGGAATGCTTAAGATATAAAAGACATTAATTTTTTACAAAAAACAAAAAACAACTAATATTTTCAAAAATCTTATAATGATCTGTCATTGAAATTGTTCAAATGTTTAAGGAATAAAAAATAATTTGTTTGGAAAAAAAAAACTTCTAATTTTGAGATATTCAAGGAATAAAAAAATTCATACAAGCACGATATGATTAGTTAAACAGAACCTCCCATAGGAATTAACATACAGTAATCCTCCCATTTTCACTAGCAGCATTCCTCGTCTTGCAGTGCATTGACAGGATTAAAAACTCAATTCTTCCACAGGAATTGACCCACCAGCTGCCACAATCTGTTGCTCCAGCTGCAACAGATACAACATTGCATTTGAAAAACAAGAACACGATTATAAAAGAAGTTCAGCAACTATATTTCTTTAAATAAATGAACATGTCATTGAGCAAGAGTATAGTGACTGTACGCACCCTGATTAGAGCTTCAAGCTTGCTCTTCACGAGACAGTAATCCTGTTTCACTTGCTGCAGGCATCTCTGGCACCTGCAATCCAAGTAACCAAACACATATAATTGAAGCATTAAATATCGCATCCCTTAAAATACAAACCCTGGGATTCAATAGCTAACTGTGAAAAAAAGAATTGGAATATACATTGATGCTGAAAAATAAAACAATCTGGAGAATGAGGTAGAGGGAAATAACTCACCCTTCAATGTTTTGTTCCTCACAGAAGCTGCGGAAAGCGATGCAGTCATTTTTAACTCTCTGTGCACCTATGCTGTATAAGATCCAATTTTTCACCCAAAGTGAGCTAAACAATCCATCTTTCTCAATCAAACAAAAATGAGCTAAGAAGAAGGGAAAAAAATAATTGTTAGCATTCTGTGTCTAATTTTCCAGGTCGTGTCTTAGATCTGAACTGTTTTTTGTGAGGTTCAATGCTCCTCATATGGTTTTAAAGAGGACATGATACTTAAATCAACGATTGCTTGTTTGAGTTGTATAGGAAGCAAACATGTACCTGGAGCTGCTACCCTTCAACTGGTGAACATGAGCATCAACCTTTTTGAAGTCTATACTTTGCTGTTCTCTATACAAGAAGAGGCAAAACAAAACCCATTTCGGAAAAATAAAAAATTGTAGCAATATAAAAATACAGTCAGCTAGCTAGAATCAACCATAACCAAAAAGGAAAGCTCAGAACTTTTAATCAGCAACAAGCAGTTCTGATGTTTGAGAGAGAATGAGAGGGTCTCCTTACAAGGCAAAGGTGAGATCACTCAGAAGCCTCTCAGAATCTTCAAAGAAGAGAGATACCACTTCAGCAACAAAATCTGGGTTGCTCTCGTCTTGCAGAAGCTGAAGCTGTTGAAACTGGGCATCCAGAAACCCCTTCATCCACCCAAAAAAAGAATAAGAAAACTGAAAAGCAAATCAAAAAACACAGAATAAAAAACAACAGAGATGAGGAGTATAGAAAGTCCACAAATTTTTATTTTTATTTTTATTTTTTTGCACTACCTCTCTAAACAAGGACTTGGTATATTCAACCCATGCCCTCTGCATCTGAACAACCTCCATCCTTTTAAAACTCTCGGACAAAAGGAAAGAAAGAAAAACACAGTGCTTTCTTAAGCTACGACAACTCAACACAGCTTTGTGGCTTAAATTTACAGATCTTGTAGGAGTTATTCCACAATAAAAGTGGGTAATAGAAATAGTATAAATGGTATGGAAACGGAAAGCTTGAAAGGGATTTAGTGAATTTTAATGTAGAAATGGAAAGAATTTTGTTTGCTTTTTGGCTATCGGTGAGTAAGCTTTCCTTCCTCTCTGGATTTGTGCTAATAACACTTGTTAAATTAAATTAAAAAAAAAAACTAAAACTGCTCAGTGTTTCACTGTGCAAGTCCACAGTGAAATCTGAGCAGTTTTCTTCTTTTTCTTTTTTTTTCGTTATTTTTATTTTTTTATTTTGTTTTCTGTTTTTTTTTTTAGTTTTTTTTCCTGTTTTTATTTTTTTTTTATTTTCTATGCCTTTATGGGTTTTTTTTTTGCTTTTTTCTTTATATATTTTTCTTTTGATGAATTTTTTTTGTTTAATTTAGTTTGTTAATATTAATTTTTTATTTAGTTATCAAATTTTCATAACACGGATTCCGGATTTGAAGGGTTAACCTTGTTTAGCCCATGGGTTCACCCGCCGTCACAAAAATCAAGTCAGCGGGGGAGATTTGTAATAGCTTCCTCCCTTTTTTCCTTTCTCGCTGACGTTGACCTACAAAAGATTTTTTTATTTTGTTTTCTATTTTTTTTAGTTTTTATTTTTTTCATTTTCCATGCCTTTATGGGTTTTTTTTTGTTTTTTTCTTTGTGTATTTTTTTTAATGAATTTTTTTTGTTTAATTTAGTTTGTTAATGTTAGTTTTTATTTAGTTATCAAATTTTCATAACACGGATCCCGGGTTTGAAGGATTAACTTGATTTGATGAGGTAATCCGAATTTTTTTCTTTTTAATTAATAACATATATTCCCTGTGCAGTCCACAGTGAAACACTAAGCTGTTTTTTTTTTAAATTATTTTTTTGCCTTTTATGTCTTAGTGTTTCACTGTGCAGTCCACAGTGAAATACTAAGCTGTTTTTTTTTTTTAAATTATTTTTTTTTTTTGCCTTTTATGTCTTTATAGTTTTTTTTTGTTTTTTTTTTTAATGATTTTTTTATTTTAGTTTGTTAATGTTAATTTTTTTTTAGTTATCAGACTTTCATGACACGGATTCCGAGTTTGACGAGTTAACCTAGATTTTTTTTTTTTTTGCTTTTTTTAAAGTTTGACGAGTTAACCCGAAATTTATTTTTTGCTTTTTTTCTTTTTAATTAATTGTTTTTCATTTAGTTTAATTTTTTAATGTTAAATTTTTTTTATTTAATTATCAAACTTTCATGACACGTATCCCGGGCTTGACGAGGTAACCCGTTAATTTTTTTTTCTATTTATTTATCAAACTTTCATGACGCGAATCTCAGGTTTGACGGGTTAATCTGGTTTGAAGGGTTAACCCAATTAATTCAGATTTTTTTTATTTTTCATCATTAGTTTTTTTCTTCCTGGTGATTTTTTTTCTTTGTTTTTTATTAATTAATCTATTTAATTATTACACTTTTATGACACGACCTTGCAGCCAGACCCACATTCAAGACTCTTGGGTCCGATGTTATAATCAGACTCACTTAAACTCGAGTTATGTAAGTTTAATATTATTATTAATATTATAAATATTACTCTTTGGTCAAGCGTTGCAGCTAAACCAAAGGCTCTTGGGCATATCTTTGCAAAAAGACCCAATGTTCTTAGATCTTAGCCTTTTTTAAAATTTTCATGGAAGAAAAAAAATTAATCTGTGGCGTGTGCCTTTGTTTTTTATTTTTTTCTTTTTCTTTTTAAGTCTTTTACTGTGGATTGCACAATACAGTTCATAGTGAAAAAACTGATGCCTTTAGTTTTTTTTTGTCTTTTTTTTTAATTTAGTTTCTTAATATTAATTTTTTTCTATTTAATTATTAGAGTTTCATGACACGGATCCTAGGTTTGACGGGTTAACCAAGTATATTCATATTTTTTTCTTTTTCTTCATTAGTTTTTTTTCTTCCTGTAGGTTTTTTTCTCTTTGCTTTTTCCTTTTTAATTAATCTTTTTTTTTTAATTTTTTATTAATAATAAATTATTTTTCTATTTAGTTATCACACTTTTATGACACGAATTTCAAGTTTGATCGGTTAACCTGATTTGATGGGTTAACCATGTTGATTCAGATTTTTTTCTTTTTCCTTTTTAATTTTGTTTTTTCGATTTCATCTTTTAATATTGTATACAATTTACAATGAAAAAGCTAAAGCCTTTAGTTTTTTTTGTGTCTTTCACTATGGACTGCACAGTGCAGTTCACGGTAAAAAGGTTGATGTTTTTTTTTTAATTAATTTTTTAATTTAGTTTATTGATATTAATTTTTTTTTTCTATTTAGTTATCAGACTTTCATGACATGGATCTCAGGTTTGACGGGTTAACCCAGTTAATTTAGATTTTGTTTTCTTTTTCTCATTAGTTTTTTTCTTCTTATAAGTTTTTTTTTCTTTTATTGTTTCTTTTTATTTAATATTTTTTTATTTAATTTAGTTCATCAATATTAAATTTTTTTCTATTTAGTTATTGATTGATGCCTTTAGTTTTTTTTTATTATTTTTTTGCTGGTTTTATGCCTTTAACTA